AGTATTCTTACCCACACTTGCATGGTATAGCATACTCCTGAGTTAGATAAGATAATATGACTATTGAATGCATGGTTATAGTGGTGGACACATACTACTATAAATTTACCAAGAACCATAGAATTGCTATGTGAGCCAGCCATTTCACTCTTAGATATATACCTCCAAAAAAAAAGAAATCAATATATTAAGTAATTATGCAGGTGGGACAGCTCACGCCTATAATCACAAAATTCAAGAGGCTGCAACAGGAGAATTGTCAGGGGATGCTAACCTGAGCTTCGTAGTACATTCCAGGTCTACCAGTCTGCAGATGGATTAACTATCTTGATAACAAACAACACCAACAAAAATAAAAGCATACACCCTATGTTTATTACCACATTGTTTTTAATGCCCAACATATGGAATGATGGGTCCTGCAGAAAAACGAATAGACTTAAAAAATGATATATACACAAAGTGGGATTCAGCCAGAGAAAAAGAAAGGAAAGAAAAAAAGCCTCATTTGCTGCATCGAGGATGGAACTGGAGGGCATTGTATGAAATGAAAGCCAGAGCACAAAAGGAAAAATACTTGTTCTCACTCCTTAATAGAGGTGAAAAATTTGATGTAATGGGCATAGAAAGAAGGGTAATAGCTACTGGTATCACGGTGGAGATTGGGAGGGAGATGGAAGGAAATGAGATGGCATTTACCAAAATATAGTTAGATAAGAATAATAAGCTTTATTATTCTACAGTGCTTGAGAATGACAGTAATTTTCAATAATTTACCATATTTTTATACAAAACTAGGATGAATTTATTGTGTGGCCCTAAACATAAAGAAATAATCACTAGCTAAGAAGATAGAAATGCTGATTACTCTTATTTGGTAACTACAGATTGTATAGATGATTCTAATTATCACACCCCATAAATATCCGTAATTTTATGACAATTACATTAAAATGTCCATCAGTATCAATCTGACAATAATGTAGTATTCAGACTTGCCAATCTGAATACAGAATTATACAAACATCATTTCACATTCACTATAATACTGTCATCAAAATGGCCAAACTTGCAACATTTTGCAATGCTGTTTTGTATCTGGAATCCCTTTATATTCTGACAGAGTATAAAATTTCCTAACCCAACTGTGGCGACTGCTTCAGACTCTTCTAAAGAAAAATACCAGACCTTTGACCTTGCCATTCACCCCCAGTAATTTAGCTAAAATAAATGAAAGCATATGTTTCCAAGGACAAGGAAAGAAATTTACTAATAGCACTGGGTTTTAACTATCTCAGATACTAATAGGTAATAGTCAAATGAATTGTGGAGTTGCAAATACAAATTTATCAATTTTAGAGTTAGATAACAAATTTCCAATACTAACAAAATGTCTGCATCTTAGAAAAGTACAACAAACAACAGAATCTAGACAAAAAAATGGTATATACATAAAGAACTAGCTATGCAAATTGAAACAAGGCAGCTGAGGAAATGTTTGCCTTTGTAAGTAAAAAAAAAACTGGCTGTGGTTGCAATAAGAGCTTCTTCAATGATTAAAACACCCTTTAAATGTTAGATACTTCATGACAGAACCAACTAAAGCTATTTTAAATCTGTGTACAAAATTTTAAATATTGTATGTTAATTACATAAAAACTTCAATGCTTTAGGCTTTACTGAGTGATTAAGACTGCTAGCTTTGGCTAAAAGCATACTAAAAATGTTTAAAAATCTTCATCATGCTGGCTATTGCCAAATCTTAATCAAATAAATTAACATTCTGACCCTACACTATTTGTATACGAAATAAAGCAAAATACTTAAGGTTTTAAACCATAAACGGTACATATAAAGATGTGAGGATGACATTTTGCCATCTAACAATATTTCAATAATTCAATAAATAATATTTTGCTATCTTAATGAAGTCCTTATAATTTTTCTTTCAACCAGCTTTATGTCTGATATCCCCAGTGTTTTGTTTATTTTCTTCCACGGTTTGTCTATCTGGAGAGCATTCAAGAGTCTTTCCCGGCTTTGTTTTTTTTTTTCCACTGATGCACATTGAGCGTGACCTCCAAGCACTACTCATGTTCCGCGCAGAAATGAATGCTTTCTTATTCCTGTCAATTAGGACCTATACTTTTTTTTCACAGTGATTCCCTGTTTCACTAAAACCGTTATATTGATATCTGTATAGATGAATAATAAGCTCTTGCCTCAACGTGTTTACTTGTAGTTTTATAGGTAGCACGTTCTAGGCATTTCAGTGAATGTCTGACGGAAGATATTTCATAAAGAAGTGATTTCAGAGTTTGAGGGAAAAAATCACAGCTTACTTCCCTCACTTTTGAGTATATACACAAAGTCTATCACGTAAATTGGATGCACAGGGAATCTGCTTTGGTGTTGAGATCGCTCAGCTAGTCACTCCCCAGCCTCTTACTGCCCGCTCGATGTTAGCTAGTGTGGCAAAGCAAAGCCGTAGTCCGCTCTCTAATCAGGCACTGTTTCTGTGAAGCACGAGTGAGTTTTCTTCCATTTTTTTCAACTATTTTCTCACATCTATTATACAGTGATTTAAGTTATTGAAAGGATAGGCAGATGCCAAAATTCCATGGATGTTTCGTATTCATTTCCATTATGTTTTCTATGGATCTTCTTGAATTTTCAAGCCCGTCTGTAGTGGAGGACGGCATGGCTCGGGGTTATTGAGGAGAAAGGCTTTACTCGCACAAAAGGCTAATAGGGACTCTGAATGCTGGAATATTTCACAAAGAGAAAGGACACTAGGAATTGAGATACAGATGTCCCTCTAGTCTGGAGACACTTGAATTTTTGTGTTTTGAACACCGTCCGTTTCAGAAGGGACCCACATAGCTCCTTGGTATCTGGTTACTATTTGAGATGGAGAACTCTAATTGATCGGCATACACAGATACGTATTTTGAGGAAGTTCCCACCGTTACCTGGTCCTCTACAATCTCAAAATACTCAATTCTCTTTTTTTTTCTGTTGTTGGCATATTTTACCAAAGAGCAGCCAGTGTGCGGGTTATGAGTTATCTATCATTTGCTTCTAATTATACCTACATGTTTTTCTTTGTCTCCTGAATCATTTCTAATCATATCTTTCTGGCCTGTACATGTCTGTTGACATAATCAGATTCTCTTATCAAGAAACAGGTTGGGTGGGAGTCTAAGTCCTATGGCAGAATTATTCATCGGTGTCGAAGTCCGAGAGAATAACCATGCCCTACTGAAAATCATTTGCCATGTGGGATGATCTACACTTTGGCAGATTGGAAGCCAAATCTGTCACAATTCTATAAAACAAATGGTTAGTGGGAGAACTTAATCTGATGTGTTTATTTATGTGAGTTAGCATATGAGGGAAATGAAACCTCCCACATTTAGAAACAGCCATGTGGCAGAGCAGATAATAAGAGAGGAAAGGGGTTATGTGTTTATAGTTGGCTCCTCTCAAAGGATTCTGACCCCCTCCGTCACAGTTCCTGTGTGGATAGGGACTAGGAAGCTGCGGTAAGGCCTGAAATCCGTGACAGCCTTGCCGTGTTCGTTCTACAGAAAGCTATCTCTGTCTTGAACGCATGTGTATACAGCAGCGATAGATCATCATGAATTACTGCTGTTACATGCTTTCAGAGGTCACATAACCTCTGAAATTCCACTTGCAAATTCTCCTCTAATTATTTAAGAATTAGTAGTCCTCGAGTGTATTTCTTCTTTACGGCCCATAAAAAAATATTTTTGAGGAACACTTGCTAAGGGAGGCTTAGGAGTGGGGTGCAGCCTTCATCATCCTCTCCTGCCCCCTTGTGGCTTCCTGTCCCCACATTGGACTCTGGCCCTAGGCAAACAGCCCCTACTAGAAGAACCATAATGTTAATCACCTTGTGAACATCCAAAAAAAAAAATTCCCCGACTAAACCGAGATTGCCACCTAATTTTCAGCAGAAAGATGAATCCAATACACAACCATTTTGACGTCTCCTGCCCTACCTGTTAACGTGGCGTATGTCCTACTGTTGAGCTGGGGGCTTTGGGGGAAGTTTCTCGTATTCTCTATTTTCCTGGATATGTTTGGAGGGATCTGCTAGCCTGTTTGCTATTTTGTGGCTCGTTGCTTCATTTTTTGGCGTTTAGAATGTCTTTCACACTCTGGTGTCATCTCCCGCACTTCACAGGTGGATTCTCCCATATTAAAAATGCCGCCTCCTTTCATTTCTTTTACCTAACCTCCAAGATTCCTTTTCTTTGCTCTAATTGACTCGTCTATTTTCTGCCTGTCTCTGCGAGGCAGTACTATTATTCTTCTAGATGAGTTTAGGTGTTTTTTTTTCCTCTCAACACTCTCTTTTGCGACTATGTTCACTACTGCTGCTCTGTTTTGATAAAAAAAAAAGGACAAACATGACTCCCAAATCCTCTGAATGAATACAGTTGTATGAGACCACCCAGGGTGGCCCAGTTTGACTGCCCGATGTCTGGCAAGTATTTATCAGTCTGTCTTATCCTGTGCTTTCATGTCCCTGAGATAATTAACTACTCCGGGAAAATTCACGCTTTTCCGAGACACATACGTGAATACACTCTCCATTTTTCTAAACCCTCATTAAATTGTAATAGCTGTCTGGTATAGCTCTCCGGGTCCCTCTTACGTCAATATGCTTCATTTCTGAGCTCAGACCACACCACCGCCCCCTCCTTTGGACAGGTTCCATGCCACTGGTGGTCTGTCCCCACTTCATAATGCAGCACGGTGATTTTCCTGAAGTATAAATCGGTCCCCGTCGCTTGCCTATATAAACTCGTGCTTAAAGAGTCCGAAGTAGCTGAATTGGTTAACTATAGAACAGGAAACTGAATCGTGTGTCAGTCAGGACTAAGGTAGACGCCCCTCTGCACAATCCACTTGTGGTGGTCGGAGGCGGGGAAGGGGCGGGACCAAACCACCACCCCCCTCCTTCTTACTGCAGAGAGCTGCAGAGCCAACCCGCACTCACTGCGAGCTGTGAGCTGTGAACTGCAGCTGCGCTGTGCTGTGTGCTCTGTAAGCCAGACACTTGGCTGAGAGCTGCAGAGGAAGCCAGACAGGGCTCTCTGAGAACTGCGTTGCCAGCTAGACAGCGCTCCCCGAGAGCTGCTGTGCTAGCTAGGCAGTGCTCCCCGAGAGCTTCGGAGAGATCCAGACCGGAGAAACTACGGAGTCGTCTCTGGAAACAGCGAAGCGAGCCTCTGGAGGCTCGCTTCCAACTCCGCTTTCAAGCTGGAGGAAGATCCTGGACCGCCACCGCGCAGGCATGCTCAACATTGGAAGAAAAAGCGCAACAGTCGGAGACGGGCCGCCGCCAATCAAGCAAGGGACATGTCGCAGCTAGGTACGAATACGGGTGACTCCAGCCCTCCGGAGTCCCCTATTCCTCCAGCCCATAACCGCCCCACTGTTCTGATGCGGGCTCCGCCTGCTTCCTCCCGGGCTCCTCCAGTCCCTTGGGATCCACCTCCCGTGGACTTGCAGGCTCCCCTGGCTGCTTGGCAGGCTCCTCAGCCTTCCTGGGAGGCTGCAGAGGGCCAGCTGCCTGCCTCGATGGCTCAGTTGGCCCAACCTCCTGCCCTAGGGGCCCCAATGGTCCAGGCTCCGCCGCTGGGGGGGGCGATGGCCAGGCCTCCAACTCCTGGAGTCTTGATGGTCCATCAGCCTCCTCCGGGGGCCCAGGTGGCCCAGCCATCAACTCCGGGAGTCCTGATGTTGCATCCTTCTGTCCCGGGGGCCCCTTTGGCTCATCCTCCTCCCCCAGGAACCCCAATGACACACCCTCCCTCTCCTGGGACCCCAATGGCGCATCCTCTTCCTGGGACCCCAATGGCCCACCCTCCTTCTCCTGGGACCCCGATGACCCACCCTCCTTCTCCTGGGACCCCGATGGCCCATCCTCTTTCACCTGGGAACCCGATGGTACACCCTCTCTCTCCTGGAACCTCAATGGTTCATCCTCCACAACCTGGAACTTCATTGCCATTGACCCACGCTCCAATTCCGGGGACGCCGATGGCCCAGCCAGCAACTCCAGGAGTCCTGATGGCTCAGCAACTGTCGCCTGGAGTCCTGATGGTCCAGCCTGCTGCTCCAGCAGCCCCGATGGTCCAGCCTCCTCCACAGCCTGCCTTGATGTCCCACGCCTTGATGTCCCAGTCTACAGCTTCGTTGACTACAATGGCCAAAACAGGTCCTGGTGTCGTGGTGATCCATTCTCCAGGTGCCAGAGCTCCCATCATTCAGCCTCCAGTGTCAGTAGCACCAATGGCGCAGCCAGTGTTGTCCCCAGGGCAGACACTGGCTTCATGGGCCCCTCAGAGTCAGCCTTTGATCCTGCAAATCCAGTCTCAAGTCATAAGAACTCCTCAACAGGTTCCCCCTATCCCATCAACACCACAGATACAGCTGGCCACAACCCCAGGCTGGCAAGCTCTCACACCCAGCTGGCAGGTGACCCCCCAGGGGTGGCAGAGCACGCCCTTGAACTGGCAAGCCACGCAGCTCACATGGCAGGCCCCCGCAATAGCCTGGCAGGCCTCTTCCCCTGGGCGCCAAGGGTCCCAAACTGTTCGCCCTGGTCCCACACCCATTCGACCTGGACCACCTCCAATACACCGCCAGATACCACCTGTGATCCGTCAGACTCCACAAGTGATGCGGCAAACCCCACTGCTTCGCCAGTCCCATACAGCTATCAGATCAGCTACACATGGCATAGCGAGCCAGCATCAGCTTTGGCAAATCCTGCCACCCCCACCTCCACTGCGTCAAGCTCCACAGGCTCGTCTGCTGATCCCCAGGATGCCAGGGACATCTCACGTGCCTACAGCATCACAAGTTACTCAGATACATTTGGTGCCACAGGCAGGACCACAGGTGGCCCAGACAGTGCTGCCAGGGTCACTGTCTATCCCAATTCCTGTGCCCCAGGCTATCCCTCAGCCTGCTCCCCGAGCTGTGCATTGCCCATCCATCATCTGGCAGGCCCCCAAAGGCCAGCCCCCGGTGCCACAGGAGCTCCCAGTGCTAGAGGAGCTCCCAGCGCCACAGGAGCCCCCGGTGCCAGAGGAGCTCCCGGTGCCAGAGGAGCTCCCAGTGCCAGAGGAGCTCCAGGTGTCAGAGGAGCTCCCGGTGCCAGAGGAGCTCCCGGTGCCAGAGGAGCTCCCGGAGCCAGAGGAGCTCCAGGTGCCACAGCAGCTCCAGGTGCCACAGGAGGTCCCGGTGCCACAGCAGATCCAGGTGCCGCAGGAGGTCCCGGTGCCTCAGCAGCTCCAGGTGCCACAGGAGGTCCCGGTGCCACAGCAGATCCAGGTGCCACAGGAGCTCCCGGTGCCACAGCAGATCCAGGTGCCACAGCAGGAGGTCCCAGTGCCATTGGAGTTCCAGGAGGCACAGCAGGCACAGGCAATGGGCTGGCAGGCACCCAAGGCACCCACTCACTTCTGGCAGGCTAGGCCTGCCCAGGAGGCCCAGGAGCAGGGCCGTATGGAGCGGCAGCGGCCCTTTCGGAGAGCTCCAGCCTCCTCCCGTGCCAGGCAAGCTCACCTGCCAACTCACCAGGCCCAGCCCACAGGCCTGCAGGCAGAACTGCCCTCAGTACAAGCGCAGCCTTCGTGGCAAGGACCACCCCAGAGCTTGCAGGCCCAGCCAGGAGCATCCAGAGCACCAACCAATTTTCCCAGGGGCCCCAGTAGGTCACAGATGTCTCCATCAGGAGAACCTGGCCCCTCTTCTGCAGAGCCTCGGGGCCCTGCTAGGGATCCTAGAGATCGTAGGACCTCTGGAAGAGGCAGAAAGGGCCCCCCAAAAGAGCGCATGATCATTGGTGCCACCTTCAGTGCTCCAAGGGCAGCATCAGCTTCCAGGGCATACCTGCCAGCTGCCTGGAGAAACGTGACTGCCCCATCAGAGAGCTTAACTGCCGCCTCGAGGGTTTTTCCATCTACCTCTCACTTCCAGCCTGCCTCTTCTGATGCCTTTAGCGGTCCGTCTGCCACCTCAGAGAGCCCAAAGTCACTGCCATTGCCTCTGCAGGACCCTTATGCCTGTGTAGAGGCCCTCCCTGCAGTCCCCTGGGTTCCCTATGCTGATGTAAACGCCCCATCAGCATGTAATGCAGTGCCCACCTTCCTGATGGTGGCAGCATCTGCCCCCCAGGCAACTGCCACAGGCGCAGAGGCCTCCAAGTCTGCAGAGCCACCACGGCGCTCCGGCAAAGCCACCAGGAAGAAGAAGCATCTGGAACCCAAAGAAGAGGACGGCGGCCATAGGACGGCCTCGCGTGACTGTGACTGGCGGGGCCCCAGACCCTGTGAGAATCCCAGGCAGAGTGACTGGGAAATCCAGAGGGCTATGCAGCTTCTGCAGGACCAGGAAGCCCTCAACACTCCACAGGGTCATGATGGCTGGGGATGCCCCAATAATTCTAGGGTTCCAAGGGGCTTCGATGGCCCCAGCACTTCACAGGACCAGAGGTTCTCTGGTGGCTCAGGGGGGTCTCAGTCATGGATGGTCTCGGAGGTCCCAGGCGTCTCTTGGGGACCCAGTGCTGCTCTGGAGGACCCTAATGGGGAGAGTCAGCCAATGTCTCCCTTAGATGAGAGAGCAGATGCTTTGGTGCAGTTTCTCTTGGTCAAGGACCAAGCCAAGGTGCCAGTCCAGCTCTCCGAGATGGTAAATGCCGTCATCCGAGAATACAAGGACGAGAGCTTCGACATCATCAGCCGTGCCAATGCTAAACTAGAGTTCAACTTCGGGTGCCAGCTGAAGGAAATTGACACCAGAACCCACACTTACGTCATCGTCAAGACGGGGCCTCCTCAGTGTAATATGATGGCATCCTACTTAGACAGGCCAAAGTTCAACCTCCTGATGGTGGTCCTGAGCCTCATCTTTATGAAAGGCTATTGCATCAGAGAGAATCTTCTCTTTAGCTTTCTGTACCAGTTAGGACTGGATGTCCACGAGACAAGTGGCCTTTTCAGAAGCACGAAGAAGCTCATCACCAGTGTGTTTGTGAGACACAGGTACCTAGAGTACAGACAGATCCCATTCACGGAGCCGGCAGAATATGAGCTTCTCTGGGGACCACGAGCATTCCTCGAGGCCAACCGAATGCATATCTTGAGGTTTTTGTCCACACTCTATGAGAACCAGGCCCAGACCTGGACATGCCAGTATCTTGAGTCGCTGTCAGAGTTAGAATACAGGGACACAAACGAGGAGCCCAACGACAGCGATGATGACTCCCACGACCCCACCAGCAGTCCCCATCCTCATTAATAGGTTTTTAACAGGACAATCTTATCCCTGTGGGTACCAGGCCAAAGGCAATGGACAATGGGGGGGAGGAGGGGGGGAACACTGTGCTTTCTGATGCTTTTGTGATTGTTCTGTGTGTGTAAGTTTGAATTCTCAGCCTGTTTTTGTATTTGCCAAAGCTTTTGTACACTTGTGTGGTGTTTGTGTAAACTGACTGCTATACCGTCGGTTTTGGGGGGGTATTTTTTCTTTGTATTTTGACATCTGTGTTTTTAAATGAGACCTGTGGTTCCCTTTTTCTGTATTCTAACTCTTACGTCATGGTATCAGACCATGCTACCTTTGTGAAATGAACTGAGAGTCTTTCTGTGTTCTAACCCTTATGCCATGGTATCAGACTCGTGCTACCTTTGTGAAATGAACTGAGAGTCTTTCTGTGTTCTAACCCTTATGCCATGGTATCAGACTCGTGCTACCTTTGTGAAATGAACTGAGAGTCTTTCTGTGTTCTAACCCTTATGCCATGGTATCAGACTCGTGCTACCTTTGTGAAATGAACTGACAGCCTTTCTGTGTTCTAACCCTTATGCCATGGTATCAGACTCGTGCTACCTTTGTGAAATGAACTGACAGCCTTTCTGTGTTCTAACCCTTATGCCATGGTATCAGACTCGTGCTACCTTTGTGAAATGAATTGATAGTCTATCGGTCTTGTTCTGTTTATGTAAAACAATAGAATGTTCTTTGGTTGTTACTATGACTCATCAGCAAAACACTGTCTGGAGAAACGTAAAGATCTTTACCTATATAAATATACTTTTAGCATAACGTGAAGTTTTTGTCTTTATTCTAATTTTTAACCAGGAAGGAGTGGGGGGGGGGAGTGCCGTCGCACACACGCAAACACCAAGATTACTATCGGTGATAGTAAAACACATGGGTGCTGACAGCCTCTCGGAAGGAAGAGTACTTCATTCATCTTAAAGTGCTGCAAGCAACTGTGGTGGGTGGTGAAGCCAGAGATTTCCTTAAAGTGAAAGCAAAACTTCCTAAGTAGGACAGGCAGAATCAAGAGGGGTTTGTATGCCCCCTTTGATTCAATTTTCACAATAACCTTTCAAATTAGACGCCATGTCTAATTCGTAGTTGATAACATAAGACACAAATAGGTTAATTAAATTGCATATATGTGGTGGCACGCTGATAAAATTTTAATTCAAAGCAGAAAATCTCCTCAAGGGTTTTTTGTGGGGAAAGGGGGTATGGATAATCTACCTCGGGACCACGCAAAACTCCAAAGGGGTGCTTGTTAGGATCCCACAATGAAAGAAGAAAAAGAAGAAGAGCAGGGTTTAATAATTTAAGTATTTTGCAGATTAGGGGTGGCCATCACAAGGCGAGAGCAGACAGCTGCAGGCCACACCTTGTGAGCTAGCATTCTATGAAAAACCCCTGAAAGGAAAGGGATAATCCTGAGCACCGTGAGGAAGAGATGGCCAGGCCTGAAGTGACTGAACATCTACAGGGAGATTTTAGTTACAGGACCCCCCCCAAGGGCTGGCAAAGGGCTTACCAGCCTGGGTTTTCAGAGGTGTTGGGGGGTGTAAATCCATGGACGTATGAAAGACTGCCCAAAGGTCACAGCTTTTCACTGAGAGCTGTCTCAATCAAGAAATCCCACCCCGCACACGCACACACATGCAGAGGTGTGGAGGCCAGGGGAGCCACAAATCCAAGCCTTCAAAGGCAGCAAGTGCTCTTAACTGCTGAGCCATCTTTTCTGTCCCTTGCTGGAGATGCTGTTCAAGAAAGACCACTTTCCCAATTTTGGCTGCATCTCATTCCGAGAGATGTCACCTATGTGAGCAATTGTCTGTTTTGCTACAGGGCATGGCATTTACTCTAGATTGTCATTTGAAAACTTTGTTCACTAAAATAAACAATTTGTTATCAACCCCACTCCCCCCGACACACACACACACACACACACACACACACACACACACACACACACACACACACACACACACACACACACAAATCCAATCCCATGTCTTCCCATTCTTCCAGAAAAGCAGAGGACAGGAGATGCGAGCAGCAAAGATAGAACGTGCCTGCCACCTACTGGCGGTTCGGCAGTTGCACAGCTGCTTCTGAAGTCATTGTCCTCTCCTGTAAGGCTTAATTAACTTCACACCAGCACTAATTGCTTCATAACCTTTCCCACAATTTCACCTCAGTCTGTGCACAACAATTTCTCTTTTTTTTCCTTTTACATACTAGTCTAAAGTCAAACAGGACTCCGTTGTCCAAGCCAAGCTTCATTCAAGGATCCCTACCTCCGCCCTGTTACGCTGCGGCTTAGAACAAAGTAGCAACGTCTATCCTGACTTTGCAGAGCAACCTTTGTCAGGCAGTTGGGCCCTGCTGCACCCTTGACTTTCCTGAATGCACGTAATTTCACCAAGGAGACACTGTGACAACCCTTTACTACCATTTGGAGGGTGAGAGGACCCTGGCCATCTAGTAAATCTATCTTTAGTGCTTGGCAATATTAAAATTATGCAGGGTCTTAGATGAGAGGCGCTGTACCACGACGATAAACCAGCCTACGGAGCTTGTTAAACATGACATTTTATTGTGATTCCCGTGGCTTTCTAGAGAAAAAAATCGTTTGTGTGTGGATACTAGATACAGTTTCCCACACCTTAAAATGTGGGAGTTTGCTAGCATCATCTGACTTTGAAGCTGTACCCCGCGCACAGCTGGATCCTGCATGGGCACAGTGGAAGAGTTCCTCACCACGTCGCTGATAGAAATGTTAATGGCTGGGAGGCTGTGTTAGGATTGCAATCACGCATATGAGAGGCAACAAAAGACTCTTTTCATCACACACGTGAAACTGAATTATTCAGGTAGCCCAACAGAAGAGTTTAGCAGCGAACTTCCTGTGAAAAGCTGGGAGCAGAAACCCAAGAGCAGCCGGAATATGGGAAAACAGAGTGCAGAAAGTTGTCACAAGCTCTAAGTGCTCATGTGGATACACATTATACAAAGCTTCTAGCCATCCGATGCAGAACAGTAAACCCACCCTGAATGCATAAGTGCGGAAACGCTGAACACAAAACAATAAGGACAACAATAACATCTGAGCTCTTTCTTCTCCCTCTAACTCAAAAGAGTATTAGATCAGCATTGATTTCTATTGATTAAACTGACGCAGAATGAAATAAAGTCACCTAGAACGGCAGATGTGAACAATTTCTACGTTTGACCCTGAAATCAATTCGACTGGCTGACTGCATCTTTAAGGGATTTAAACGTGCAAATAGTTATTTTTTTAATCATCTCAGAAGGATATTTTGAATAGAAACAATGTTTCGTAAAGGTGAAGACCTCCTCAAAAGGAAAGATGAATGTGAATGAGGGAGTGTGTCTAGTATTTTTTACCCTCATACAAGGTAAGACGGCTTAGGGAACTGTTGCTGAGAGACCTTAGATGTCTGCACAAAACAAATTGCAGTTTGCCCCCCAAGACATCCAATTTAGGAGACTAAAAATCCATGATGACAGGTTGAAGACTTAATGCTTACATTTCTCAAAACTGCATGCTAGAGTATAATAAAAACTGCCCGATGATTGCAGTGGAAGCCCGTTTGCATTACGCTATGAATTCCAATGAAGGGGAATCGCCAAAATAATTATTTTTTTTCATTTTGTATTAGTTAAACAAACTATAGTTCAAACGAAGCTTTCTGGGGGTGAAAAAAGGAAGGAAAACTATATTCGGTGTATAAAGTTAATAAGGTAATTTTCAGAATCCTTATCTAATGTCTTTTGCAATAATTTTATTCTAAAGCATTATGCCTTGAGCAATATGAGAACGGACCAGTTATTTGTCAAGGCCATACATCAGCCAGCCTTTTTAGCACACATGGGTTAAAAATCAGCACTGTGTATTTATTGTTAGTGCACAAACGGACTCTGGAATTCTCTCTGAGCTTAGATACATGGGGGACAGCACAGGCCCTGCTCCAAAAGATGTGATAGACTTTGATGATCCCCTGTGGAAGGTTTCACCCTCCCTGGGGAGTGGATGGGGAGCAGAATTGAGGAGGTTAGTAGGGGGCTATGGGAGAACTGGAGGGAGAGGGAACTGGGATTGATATGTAAAATAATATTTTTTCTATTTAAATAAAAATGTATTAAAAAATAAGACTGCGATCAAAGAAACGTTTGCTTTCTAGATACAGAGGTGGAGTCTTCACGTCCTCAGTAATAGTAACTCCATTGCACATGTCTCCCATGTCATTAATTTGCCTTCTGAGTTGGAGAAACACCCACAGCATCTTGCCATCTTCTCACTGCCTCATCCTCAAAGGGATGCAGGATCATCCCTGAGTGAAGTCCTATGCCCTTCTGTCCATGCTAAAATCCTGGAAATAGTCTTCCTCCCAGAAAGGCTTTCAGGTAACAGCAGTTGTATACCGGCAGGCCTTCTTAATCCACACAGGCACCGCTGTGGAAGCCCTTTCTCTGTGTTCTCAAACGTTTGGTACTGCTCTCCGTCAGAGCGCAACATAGCGAGCAGCCCATGGTCTCTAAGCCACCATAAAATGCCAAGAAATTTCATCCGCCTTGGAGCATGAGGTGGTTCTCAGTGTTCCTCAACTTTGTTAATCCAGAGAGTCAAGGATCATCCTTACAAAGAGGAGCATTGCTCAAAGAACTTAAAAAATGAGACCAGCGCGCCCTCTGCTGGACATCTAGAACAGTTACTCAGATTCTGAATTTAAAACTTAACTATTATTTCAAACTGTTATTTGGTATGTTTTGTTCTAGCTCTTCCCAGATCTTTCCAGTCTGCCTACACACTCAATTCATATTTTCAACTTCCTCCTCCCTCGTTCTCTTCTCTCTCTCTCTCTCTCTCTCTCTCTCTCTCTCTCACACACACACACACACACACAAAGCAAAACAAAAATCAAAATAAATGAAAAATAGGCAGTAAGATTTTAGGTCAAGGAGGACCCTACAGGAAGAGAATTCCCTCTCCAATTTAGACTACATCATTCTTATTCGCCATTATCCCCCCAAAGAAGTGTAAAGGAATGAAATTATTGAACTTTTATCACCATCATCATCATCATCATCATCATCATTATTGGTACAAGGTCTGACTGCCTTCTCCAGAAAGAATCTTTTAGGAAAAAGGCTATTATGGGTCCACATTTGTGACATTTTTCCACCTTTTCCTGAATGCAAGTAATTTCTATTTTCCTTGTATCTCATGCACTATACAGTGCTTCCTTGAGTCTTACGAGATTTTCGAAATAGTACTTTCCCTGCTGTTTGAAGCATCTTCCATTACCGACCTTTCTAACGTACTGTTTATTGACTTTCAGGGAAGTATCCTGGCTGTCTCAAAGAAATACTGCTTTCTGTATAAGCAGTCTATCTCTCTATAAGGTGACAACTTACTTATGAGTGAGATGCACTGTCTATGTTATTATTTACTGAAAATCTGTCTTAGAAGAGATATTGGTAGTATACGCAACCTACATATAACCAACCATTCAGTATTTCCTCTATCCAGAAGACTTACTGAGGTGCGCTACACAATGGCTCAGAATCTTCCCCTAAATACAAATATATTCACAACTGCAAAATATGTGTTGGTCTTTCTAGCTTATATGAAGTTATCCCTCAAACATTGTTTTTCAAAGCTGAAAATGGTGCATTTTCATTCAACACAATGTCTTTGACGCTGACTCAAATTTTCCCATGTATAAATAACTAATTCACTTTTTTTTTTTTTGGTTTTTCGA